GGAGCAGGTTGTTACTTTCGACAAATATGTAGGCTCCTTCTGTAATGATGGAGGTCAGGGCCTTGTACATAGTTGGTAAGCATGTGATAAGCCTGTAGTTTTTAGGGTTCCCTGTGTCTTCGAAGTTTGGTATCAGGAAAGTCACACCCTCGGTCAGCCACTCTGGGGACTGTTCTGGGTTCTTGAGGATATTGTTGTATGCACTGGTAAATTGATGGTGCAAGCTGATCAGTTGTTTGAGCCAGAAGTTAGCCACGCCGTCGCATCCTGTGGCTTTCCAATTACTGGTCTGGTGGATGGACCATTCCTGAGTTGGGACATGCTGGTTTTCTTTGGCTCGGTCTTGGATCCAGTAAGCAGCATCATTATGGGTCTTGCTGTTCTCCCATATTTTGCTCCAGAATGTCTCGACCTCTACGAGTGAGGGAGGGTTCTGGGTAGTGATGGCTTTCTTTTCCAGCTCTCTGTAGAGCTTTTTGGCATTGTCCCTGAAGGTCTTGTTTTGCTGGAAGAAGTTCGCCCTTTTTGTGTATTGCCTTAGTCTCTGTGCTTTGGCCTGGACTTCTTGTTTTAGAGACTCTTTTGTTTTGGCCGTGTTATCTTGATTTTTTATGCCAAATTTCTTCTTGTTCTTGTCAGCTTTGGTATTTTTTACATTAGACCCCTTTTGTAGCTCTTCCATACAGGTAAAAGTAATTCATAATTATTTTACACTAATATATATAAAGCTTCGAGTTTAAACCTTAAAATAATTTGGTCAAAGGGTTTCACTTAGCTTTTCGTCTTTCTTCGGTGCCGCGTATTCATACGACGAATTCACGGCTCGAGGTTGTCCGCTGTAGTAAGAAGTGATTCCATTTGCTTTTATTGAAATGGATGGATGAATTGAAAATTGATCGCTCTTTTTGATATACAAATTATGTCAAAGAGAAAGTAAAATCAACTATTACAGCTGATTCTTAAGTCGCGGCACAAGCCGATCTATAAAATAGATTTACAAAGGGAGATAAGAACTGTTCTTACTGAAAAGAAAACAGCAACTTAATAACAGCTGCAAACCACTAAGCTGACACTTATGTCATGTTAGGCCCCTTTCAAACGAGGAATTTCTTATGAGTGCCGAACAACTAGTTTAGTCCATGAAAGTAATTAAATACGGCAGTTGATTTAGACGTCGATAAGATGATGTCGACTTTAGCTCCGTTTGTTGAAAATATTTCCAGTCTAAAAATTTTTCTTTAGCCTCAGACGTCCCATCTCAAAGTAGTTACCTCTCGAATTAAATTAGGTAAATGTGAAAATCGAAGATTGAGCTGGGTAATGATAACAGTGTCCAGTATTACTAAAATCGCCAGTAGATACGCTATGATACATACTGCAATTTTTATTTTCCTCTAAACTTTGCTTTCAAATTACCACATTATGTTCCTAGCCATATGCACCACACAGGTAAAAAAAGAGAGTAAAAAAGACATTTTAAAAAAGGAAAAATAATAAGCTTAGGAAAAATTTCCTTCAAGGGGATTCGAATCCGGACCCTCAGAATCAATTACAACTAAAAGTTAACGCCTCTATCCACTGGACTACCTCAGTTAACGCAGACAACGTGGATGTACAATATCAGGTTGCACCTGGGCTCCCAAACTACTAACTGCAACAAGAAAATGTAAGATTTAATATTGGTTTCCCTGTGGTGCAGCCGGCGGTCGGCGGTCGGTGTACGGTCATGTGATTACCAAATTTTCTAGGATGGATAGATTTTCTTAGCTATGGGGCACCGCTCGCGCGCGCGCGTGGAGCTCCGCTAATATGAAACTAGAACTAAATTTGAATATTGAGTCCTAAAACCTGGTCCTATTTCCAAATAATACCTACCTTATCAGTTGTCTAATTTTTAAAACCAAGATATATTCACAAAGTCGATAGAAAGTCGAAACTGATTAATGTCTAAATCTGAGAAGTGAAGAAGAAGCCTTTTTCAAACATTTAAACTATTACTACAACATAGAATATAGTCAATAAATTCAGTTTGACACTGAATAAATAGGCATTACTTTGAACCTAACATGATCTCGCATTTGGACAGAAATGCAGAGAAGAAGGTATTCCATTCGATGAGCACTTTTAAAATATTAGTGCTGAGGTTTGACAAGCAAACCTTGCTCGAGACAATAAAACTGAGGTAATTTCTTTTATGAAACGGGAGATAACTATTCCTAATATACCTGGAGAAGCAGTGTTTTGTCTCCCAGTCTTCCTGCTGTAAACACCTCTTTCTATAAGAATAGCAAACATTTCATCAATGAGCTTGGTCATTGTGACTTAAGATTGAATAACTTGAGAAAAAACAAACGCAAAATGTTAGTTTTATATCATAATTACCCTTGTCTTCATTTTGTTTCAATCCATCAAAATCATAGGTCTAAAAAATCTTCAGTTTTGACATCGAATTGACGTCGACAAGGCTTTCAACCACAAAACTAAAATATAACCTTTTTAATATTTTATTACTTTATGCTTGTGTTGAGCGTTTCGTCCCCAAAAAGTAAGTGGGACCAAATTTTTTTATAATTTTACGGGAACCTTTTTACTTACAGCACAACCGTATGAGACGATTCACGAGTTAAATTTATAAAACCATAAATTCTTCTCTTTATACTCACACACCGCCATTATTATTACTCTATGACGTCACTGGATTAACCCCCGCGGTTTATCCATTATGTTTCTTTCGACTCCTGCCACGATCAAAGAAGAACTTAGTGGGAATATCATCTGTCACTGCCGAGCAACGAATTAGGCTTCTTGAGAAAGCGACTCAACACTCTATTATGAAGCTAACATACGCGAGCTGAATACTCTGCAATATTTCAAGCAAACATAAACAATTCGTAAAGAAAAAACTTTGCAGAAGGATCTAAATGTATCGGTATTGGCGATTTCTCTTGTTGTGCAACTTTGCTGTAATTAATTTCACAACGACAACAGGTGAGGAGCATTTTCAACAATTTTTTTTTCTCAAAAACTGAAAACTTTGACAAAAAAAATGTGATACACCAGAACTGCTGATTTGGCGTTGCTTGACAATTATTCTAGGTATAAATTTCTATCTTTACGTAAATATTGCCATCTTAGCCTTTGTTGTCACAGTTAGGTATACTTTCCACGAATTTATTGCTTTTAAAATTTTCCTGTTAATAATATTTTCTTGTTATGACCAAGTTTGAGGTCTTTCAATTACATCCCCATTTTCATAATTTTTACCAGGCAACATAAGAATCGCAGATCTTCTAGATAACTAAGCTTGCCTTTTTTCGTTAAATCGCAAGAGACTGACCAAAGCGCCAATTTTATTTCAGCTTATCTTGGGTAAAAATTAAGTTTACAAAAAAGGCGTAAATTTACGAGTGTTTTGATATGTTGCTACCGCAAATTTATTCAGTTTTATTGTTATGTTTTAATCCAGCATTTAAAGCTTCAGTGTATTTTTGTAGCAAATTTAATCACACACGAAGAACAACTTGGAAATTCCACTTAGTGCACATTCAGACTCAAGATAGCTTAGTGTTCTAAAAACGGGGATAACTCATCGTTTTCAAAACGTTTCATTGTTTAGCGTTGTTGAAACCACCCAAAGGAAGAATTACTATCACTATACATTAAATAGATCGGACTATTGCTGTTTTTCAATATTTGTTTTATCACAACAAACATAATGAGACTTCACAACGTCTTGAACATGTTTATTTTTATTTTTCTTGCTAGTTTTTTGATAAAATGCAAATCAATATAATTTCTATTCACTGGCATTAGATTTCTTTTCATATTCTTGCTAAAATATGAAACTAAAATTTGAAACCCCTGCCTGTAAATCGACAGGGATTAAAACTTAACGACAATATTGTCTCAGTAGTCAAAAATTGGTCACTGAATGTTCAACTCTAATTTGCGCACATCGTGGTTTTTAAAAGACAATAGAACTATCCTATATAATGCACTACTTTGGTAAAGAAACCTGCGCCAGTCTGTGAAAAACGATATCTGAATGCGGCAGATGTTTCAGGACCAGAGGTGAAAAGAAGGAAATTAAGCACAAAAAAAAAATTTCTTAAATTAAGAGTATATTTCTACTGTTCCAAGTTCGATAATCTTGGACTTTCATGCAATTAAATAGTTCCTTGTTTAGAAGAACAGATATGGATTTGATGGCGTCATTTGCTAAAACGATTTTACGAGGGTCTCATCAATTTTAAAGCCAACAATTAATTTCAAATTCAGGCCAAAATGAAACATTTTTTGCCAACCAGTTAAACATTTATCATTTTTTAGATCTTTATCTTTGGTTCACCTCATGGTCAATGAAATTCTCACTAAAACAAGCGTTTGGAAGGCGATAAAAGTGACGTCTGACGCGTGGATGCTGACGTAAGCATGTCATTCAAATGGCTTAAGAGCTAAAAATGTTCGAATTTACGTCATTATGTCGTCCTTCGGATGGCTTTTTTTTTAAAGGAAATCTGAAAGCAGCATCAAAGGTTTCCATACATAAAAATTATTTCAAGAACTTTCCAAAACATAGAGAATCCCATTTATTGCCGCGCAATTGCTTGGAGTGAATCACGGTTGTTAAGGCTAAGCGTGCATGTCGCGGAGTTCCCCTCATCCCAATGTTAAAACACGACAGCATACAAACTCTTCAAAAGAAATTTTATGAAAGTAGATTTTCTGGACACGTAACAAAAGTCCATGAATGTAGCACCATGATTAGAATCATGGCTTAAGCACCTTTGCGAAAATGGCCACGTTTTGAGCCAAATCGCCAGACCAGTCATTCACTTGCAGCATAGTTCTAACGGACTCTATATATTTGTCTTGTATCTCCGAGAAATTACCAATTTTTGAGCTAATAAAATCTATGTTATGTTGTAGAATATCATTACAGTTCTTCTATCCTTTAATAATCGTAATTTCAATTAAAAACATTTACCTAAGTGTAAAAACTAAGTAGTTTCGTTTTTATCCTAGATGCAGTCAAAAAAAGTGACGATGATGAACTAAGACTAGTAAAAGACCTATTTAATAACTACAGCAAGGAGGTCAGGCCAGTAAAGAACAAAAAGGCTGCAATCAAAGTGATATTTGGAATTGCTTACACGCAACTTGTTGAACTGGTAAGCACATTCAAAACTGTTTGTGTTCAAGTTTGAAGTTGAAGTCAAGTTTGAAGCCAAGTTTGAAAGCAATCAGTTGTTGTCGCCCAATTTTACAGACGTTTGTATGGTGGGAGGCAAGTTCGTGCACCCCACGATACAAACGTCAGTAAAATTTCGCGACTTAAGGGAACTGTTTCTTCGCTCGCTTTAGACCTTTTTAAACGTGGCAAGTCTACTAAAGTTAAAGCAATTTTTTCAGCAGCGTCAACTGATTTTCATCAAATGTAACCGTGAAGGGTATACTGAATAACAGTTAAAACCCCTCCTAACCTGTAATAACTTGTATTACCATACCCGCAGGACTTTGTTGGTAAAGTTGCTTACTTTGGTTAAGTAGCAAATCACACTGGCGATAAAATCATTGACAAAACATACTCATGTGTTGTCCACCTGGTGCAACTGTCTGAAACAAGTCAACAAAATAATTTCACCAGGTAGAACCAATGCGGAAATATGCCTTCTTCGGACAATATGCATTCTTCTACTCCTTCAGTTTCAATAAAATATGTCAAATGAAATCTCACAAGGAAAACGAAACGGCTAAAGCCAAAGATAGGTCTACTTACAACATTTGTCCTGATAATTCTCGTGGGAAGTGTTAAATGTTAGAAACGGAAACGTTTTAGTAAGTTTTGGTACCTACAATCCCGTCTAATTTTCCGTTTGATGGTAAGTTCTTTATTTTCAGTACAGGGCCCGGTTGTTCAAAGCTGGGTTAAGATAACCCAGGGTTAGTGCGAGATTTGAATTCAGATTTGAAAGCTTAAAAAGCATTTAAGTTTTAATTCTTTTTGTCCACAGGTTGATGGTTGGAAGTTCTAAAAATTACAGAGAAAATTATCCGAGAAAATGCTTTTGAACATAAGAAAAAGAAACCCGGGTTAAATTTAACCCCGGGTTAAGCGCTAATCGGCCTTCGAACAACTGGGCCCAAAAATGTAAAGACCATTTCCTCAGACCCCTGACCCGGCCTAGAGACCATTTTGAACACCATTTCTTCCATTCAGTTTGTACAGGCAAATGGCGAGCGAAGCAAGCCGTGAAAGAACTCATCCCTCGTGCTCGCGTCTCCTTCCGCGTTCCGGGCTCTCGCGTGAATTCTTGTGACTCTCCCAAGTGGAGGGCTTGCTCGCCGGCTAAATGACATCTTTTAATTTACGCCTTATTCTTCATAAACAGGATGAAAAGAATCAGGTTCTTGTGAGTAATGTGTGGATAAGACAAGTAAGTATATAAGTGTCTTTTCTATAGAAGTTAATTTATCTGGAACGTGAGAATTTGGGTCTAATTTTCCGTACAAAGCTCAATTAAGATTCATTTTCGTTTCTAACAATCAACCCATCAATCAGTCAATCTCGATCATACCAACAACATCTAAGTCAATCTCTCACCAACCAATGAATAACTGTTGGCTTAATCTTTCATTCAAGTCCTCAGTCATCCATCTATCCACAGGCGGTATTTAATTTATCAGTCTACATTATCCTTTCATCCATCGATCTATTCAAACATCCATCAAAGAGTATAAATCAACACCCTTCTCTGATAATTAATAGAAAAGCTCCAATCTATTTAATGACAGAAGTTTCCTAAAGATTGAATTGCTGAGCACCAAAGCCCGGGCGTGGTGCACCTGAGGACTCGCACTCTAGGTGCCTGAGTACGAAAGCCCACGGATATATCACTAGGAATAAACTCCTTTAAGGTCTTTTGATTGAAATGAGCTAGCAAGGCCACACGCATTCATGAGATCAATAAATCGTATGTTCAACTTTCGTTCCTCCGGGCTTAAATTTTTTTTCATATCTACTCGACAAGATTTAACCAATGTAAATTTATTTGAAATACGTATTCGACAGAAATGGAACAATCATTTGTTACGCTGGAATGCATCTAATTATGGGGGAATAAAGTCCATCAACGTGGATCCCAAACTCATCTGGCTTCCAGACATAGTTCTGTACAACAAGTAAGTGAAGATTATCTTCATTCAGCTATCGACAATTGTTGGTTTTCACATGACGTCCCTAAAATTCAAACTAAAAAACTATCGATCCTACCGATATTTTACTTTCACGATGCATTAGAGCAGCTGAAACTAAGTTTCACATAAATTTTCGCTTCAAAAGGGTTCTTGGTTTTGTGATAGAGTACGCTTGAATTTCTAAGCTTTTGCGTGACGCGGAATTTACATGACGGCCAAGAGAGCTGTCATGTGGGTTAAAAAAATGACTTATTTCAGTAAATCAGTTTTGCTATCTAAACAGTTCATGTATTAGAAAAAGAATTACTTCAATGTTTATGAGTTTCTCGAAGAATAAATTCACGCTTTTGTAGCAAAACTCGGTAACAGATGTTTCTGTTGGTTTCCGTCCGCCATGTTGGAGCTCCTCCAGGTGAGCACCAGCATGGCGTCTCCATACAAATCTCTATAAAGTTTGGGTAAACATTTCTTCACAGGGTCCAGAGGAGTTACGTGTGAATAAATGAATTACTTATTTAAAGTCTCACCTTGAAAAATGTCTATACCTGTCGCTTAGCACGATTAATTAGCCCAATGGGATCTTTATGAATCTACTGTAAACGATTTCTTCGCTTTTTATCTGACCCAGATCGACTTTGTTGTTCGCCATTTTGAAAATCAATAACCGCAAGCCATATCCTCGCTGGCGCACGGCACGTCGCCAGAAGGGCGACCGAGGCACGAAGTGCCGAGTAAACAAGAATCGCCAAAAGGCGATTTTTAACTGGGCTGCCAAGGGGCTATTTTTTCTGAGGGGAGGGGGCGGCTATACACACTCAGGCTACCATAAAACCTTGTCGGCAACCATTGCATGCGACAGAACCTCATGTGAGACTGAAACATAAACTCATTCAGAACATTGTACCCTTTTGAAAGACTTTCGTAACCCAAAAAAAAGAGTACCATTTTTAAGTGGGGGCTGTATAATAACTTTTAAATTCCACCATTATGAATAAAAATAGACAAGTTAGCCATTAATTCTAAGCAGGAAACAATTTGCATTATTTCCACGTACCCCTCCCCTAATCCCTCTGTGCCCCAAAATATAGCGTGACAGTATAACGTGAACTAATTTGACGTAACTGGAAATTCCAAAAATTGTTGTCGTTCTACGAGTATAATGAGCTGATTTACACTAGACAGAAATATTGTATTGTATGAAAACCAGAAGTATACTAAAACAGACAGTTAACTGCCCATTGATCCCGCCTGATCCAGGGGCCTCACTGACTGCACGGAGACTTTACTGCGCTTTTCACAAACATGCGAACTCTAAAGTTCAAAAGCCACCTTCACAATTGTGTTTATCGCTGCCGTCAATCATAATTACGATCACAAGCAACGAACCTTGAAACAGAGAAACACACAAAACGGATCGAAATCCACAAATCACAAACCATGACCTTTTGAACCCGTGAAGTAAAGTTTTGTTTCCTAAGAGGTCCGTTAAGATGATTGACAGCAGCGAAAAACGCAATCGTCGGTTGGCTTCTGAACTTCAGAATTCGCATGTTTGTGAAAAGTGCGATCCTAATTTGCGGTCCACAGTCTACAAGAAAACGCACTATTTTTTCCACAAGATGAAAAATATTCAGTTTTAAGATTTTCCTCATGGTATTTTTCTCTAACTTAAAGGAATAAAATCCTTTGCATTTTGAGACCTAAAAAAGTTTAAAGATTTCTCGCTCGCATGTTGCGTTCACCAGCACGCACTTCAAACAATGTAAATAGATGAAACGATCGATAACATATTTTTTACCTGATACCGATGCGAGTTAAAAATTCGCTCCAGTTCTGTTTGTCTCACCCAAGACGAACTTTTCTTCATGGAAGATAACTATGCCGCTTTATAACTCGTCCGAAGTTTTTGTGCCAGCTAAACAATATGGAAACACTATTCACAGTGACTCCTTGGATATTAAAAAGACTGAACGTGACGCACTATTATGCCTTTGTTTACTTCTGATCACATCTTCAAGCGAAGTCTCTCTTTTCAAGCGATTCATCTCAATGCACAATAATTGACCCTTATATTAGTTAAAACCCTATGGTTCATTTATATTAATGCTGTTTTTGCCCCTCACATTGACTGTGTTCGTTCGTATTCAAAACACCTTTACGAAAATAAAGGTCGTATAAGTCATGTGTGTTATGTTTCGAGATAAATGGATTATACGCTTTTTTAAGTTTCCATTTTGCGGTGACTTCAGTTAACATCTTCATAAAATGGTAAAAGAAATATCAAGAAACATCACGAGAGCTGAAAACTTTCAAAGGCATGTTTCTGAAACTCGCTAATGCTGACATCAATATAGCGTGCTTGCTGAATGGGCGAAAACACAGAATTGTGATCACAAGATCATGTACAAATTTAATGATAAAAGCTTAGCAAGATACAAATACAAACAAAAGCAAACCCCCTGAAACCTCGACGTGGGCTACACTTGTATGCTCTACTCAGTCACCAAACCTTGTCAGTAATAGCTCCTATTTTCCTCAAGTCGCTCTCTGTGAAGCTCCCGGATGGGATGTCCCGGTGAAGCTTTAAACTTGTGTGCGAAATTCTCAGAGTCCCTATTTTTGTCCGTGTCTTCTTTATCCTCAGTATCCGAAATTTAGACCTCCAAAGTGGCGTGTGTTGCATTAAATAGAAGGAAATATTTAAAGGAAAAGCCAGTCTTCTAACATGGCAAAGTTGTCACGTCCCTCGCTCATGGACGTGCGTAGTGCCATTCATCGGCAACTGAGTTGTTCGCTTCACTGACTACGAAGGCTTACAATCAAGTCTTCAGCCATAGTGTCGTCAACTGGTGAAATGCCTTGCTCATAAATTGTGCTTCTTAATTGCTCATGTACTACGTCGATCGATAATTCTCTCTTTGAGTTCACGAAGCGGCCACGGCGTTCCAAACCTGACGCTCACAGTCATCTTTTAGTGTGAGCCTACCGTGGACAGCGTGTCGGTTTGAATGCAACGCGAGCATTTCTCTGAGTTTCCCAGCGCCAACATCATCTAACTGACTTAAACTCGAACAATAAAAAAATTATAGAGTGACTCCCATGATCGAATCGCTTCGAACAACGCAAATAGCCTTCTTCAGGTTCGCAACGCTTTGTGGGTTTTTCAGGGGGAGCGCAGACGAGGTACAAAAAGTATCTGTGCAAGGCTCCGTGCAAGAGAAACTCATATGAAACCATTTGTGAGAACATCGTTTCTCGGTACCAGACCCTCGTGTCTTCCCTCCCCCGGGAGGCCGTTTTTCGCCGCAGACGACCGAAAGCCCATTTTATGACTGGGCTCACAGGCAGCCCAGTAAAAAAACTGTAAGCCGATCTCTTGAGCCCTCAGTCTCTTGGCTAAAGAATGTGTAACGAAACTGTAACACGATCAAAATAACCCATTTTTCAGAGGTTTCCGACGGGTTTTGATGTTCTAACGACAAATACATCTCCTCTGGACCCTGTGATTTCTTCGGATATCTCGTATACGAAATATTCCTCTGAACTGAATCTTGACGAGAGTCTTTGTATATCTTCCTCCTTTCATTTTCCTGATTCTGGACTTCATCTATTGAACGGTTTTGATTTTTATTCTGATCTATTTTGAATGGCGTGACACTGAAAACCAGCAATAGTTCTACCTTTGCATAGGCATTGTACTGTTAGGCTATTTCCCCGTCTCTCAACGGATGCTGCGCACGAAGTACTAGTTAATTAATACAAACATCCCTTCTGAAGAGGGAACAGCATGTAGTCTACCTGCTGGTTGTGAAAGGCTTGAACCTTATTTCTCAGTTATAATAAATACACTTTTAGTCTTTATCCAGCAGGGAATGCGAAGTACCTGTTCTGCATTTCAGCGCTGTCCTTATTTAGCTAACCCTGCGGTAGCCTGTGAAAAAACGGCTCTAAGTTTGGAGATTTAACGAATAAAAAGAATTGATTAGAAGGCTAGAAAATCAAAACAGACGGGGAGAAGGAATGGGGAAAAAACGTAACTGTGGGACATGAATGAATCAGGAAAATTATAGCCTTTGAGGAAGTTCTCCAATTGCAAATTACTCGTGACCCCTCGTTTCTCTCGATTTCGAAAGACAAGGGTTTCCTTTAGGGGTAGAAAAAATGGACCAGTTTAGGTTTCTGGGAAACTGCCCACCTACCCCTCCCCTAAGCCAAGCTTTTAATTTGCCCTAAGTGAGAAGAAAGAATTAATGTTGACTTAGGGGAGGGGTAGGTGGGCAGTTTCCCAGAAACCTTAATTGATCCGAAAAGATAAATTCAACGGTGACAGTAGCATAGGTCACGCACCCATGTTCGGTGGTTTAAACGGTTTGGTAGGTTTTAGTTCGGTTATATCTTAGCTGATTTGCCCTCCTACGAGTTAAGCCACTTAAATAATAGCACATGACCTTAATAATATTCCCCCACATTTTATTCATGAGATAAAGTATAACGCCATCGTCGGTAATATATTCCCGCGCAAAAAAGGGGTCTAACCAGAGCGCCATATACTACTGGTCCCGATTGTTCAAATGTTGGAATACACCATCCACCAGATAAATCACTATCCAGTGGATAGGTATTAGAAAAACCATTTGCGTTATCCCCTGGATAGAGATATATCCATTGGATAGCGTATAGTTATCCACCTTTTGAACAACTGGGGCTGGTGTAGATGTGCTCATCTCCGTTCGCGTTCTCGAGCTTGGTACCAGCACTAACCTGTTCACCTGTCCACGGGTTATATTGCATGGGCATACTCCCATTGGTCTGAGTCATTGCTTTTGCAGGAGCCCATAGATATAGGCTCCAGCTTTGGTTATGACTTGATTGGCACAACAAACGCACTTCGCTTTCCGAAAGCAACCACACTAAGGCCGACTTAGACTCCGTGAGTGTAAAAGATACGCCGGAGACTACTCGAATCGAGTCGAATTGCTTACAAGTCATATTGTACCCAGCCAAAAATCTCCATGCAAGAATTAGTTGATCGAGTACGAAGATCCATTAGCCGGGGGTAGAGGAAGAGATACTGATAAGCAACAAATTAGATAGATATTTATATAGATATTACAAAGATTTTGTGAGCAAGGAATCAGCTACACTAGATTCTCTACGAAAACAAGAGCTCTGACATAAAGTAACTTGTGTTTCACCATTTTCAGTGCGAATACAGGAATAACAAGCGGTAACATGGACCAGTTCAAGACCAGAGTGATTCTCACTTCTGATGGTACTAACCAATGGTAAGCGTTTAATATGGGAATCCACCTATGAAAGAAACAAAAATTTTGCAATATGCGGCAATAATTCTAAAAACAAAAATTAAAGAGTTTTAACTGCATCTTTAGATAGTCAACTAAAGTGAAAAAAGAAATCCTGCTTGTGGCTTTTCTCTGATTTTTCAAGACTGGCGACTTTCTTCTGTTGATGTCTTAGAGCTGAGAGATAGAGGATGTTAATGCTACTTAGTTGTGGGGCGATAAAAATGTTTTTTCCGTAGCACTAGTGCCAGGAGCTACTTGCGAAGACTTGGAGACGGAAACACCTCTTGTTTGAGGGCCCTGTATAATCGTTCTTGCAGCCAGAGTCCTATTCTAAGCTCCTTTTCTTTTCGGTCTCCGAAGTCCGGTCTTTGATCCTCCTCGAACCCAGAAAGATAAGTGGGGGCTCATTTTTCTCGACAACGGCTTGTAAGCGAGTTTAGTTCCTTTCTCAATCAGGGTGGAATGCGTCAGATCCTGCTCATCAAAACCATCTACGATTTTTGTTCAAACAGAAAAAATGGTAGGAGGGAGGGGACGTAGACCCCGGTGGTGTGGCCAACCTTCCCTGGGCTGGGTGGGTTATCTGTAAGGAGAGATCTTAATATAGGGATAACCTCATAATCCTCCTTCAAGTGTTGTAATGGCTATCTGTAAACAGTGTATGTAATACAACCTGGGTAATAAGAATTTGGAACCTCAATCTGATTCAATATCTGTTTTAGGTTTGCTCCCACCATTCTTCGAAGTCGCTGTGCCATTGATATCAAGTTCTTTCCGTTTGATGATCAGAAATGCGATCTCCATTTTGGTTCGTGGACGTATGATGGACTCAGAGTGGATTTGATAAATGCCAGCACTGGTGTCGACCTGGCTTCTTACATGGCCAGCGGCGAGTTTGAAATGGTTGAGGCACCCGTCAAACGAACTATTGTCAAATATAGGTAAGGTCAATTCTACTGAGAAACCTCATAATGGGTCATAAAAAGTTTTTATTAACGAGAATAATAACAAAAACTTATAAGTACATAATTATCTTCTCCGCATAACGGTTCGCCCTGGATAACGAAACAATAATTCCATTCCATATCAAACATATCGGTGTTAAGAAACCCAAATGGTAGTAAGTAAACAAACAGTTGGCTAATTATTTATTTTGATTCTTGGCTCGGCCAGTAGTTGAATTCGGGACTTCATTACAATCTTGTCGAATTTATGGAGTGTTCATACGAAAGAGGTTCTTGTTTAATAAGATTCATAATTATTAAAAAAAAATGACTACAAGAGTGTCGTCCTTCAAGTTTGGGCAGAAAGAATAGTATAGTCACTAAGGCTTTTCAGAAAGGTTTCCACTGTATCTTCTCGGGTCAGTCACTGGTACCGAGCTCCCCCCAACCCCCCACTCTTTCATTAAAAATATCCCCCGCTATCCTCTGTCAGATACAATGCCTGCTTGCTCTCGTTTCTTTCTTACGTGATCCAGTACCTAACCTTTAATCTTTTTAATTTTCACTAGCTGCTGCCCTGAACCTTACCCAAATGTGATTTTTACCCTTCACATAAGAAGAAAAGTTCTGTTCTACTTTAACAATCTCATTGTGCCCTGTTTTCTTATCACGGCTTTCGCACTTTTGACCTTCGTTTTACCGCCAAATACCGGAGAAAGAGTTACCCTGGTGATCACCACACTCCTCGCCATGACTGTGTTTATGCTGATGATTGCCGAAAACACTCCGACCACGTCCGATGTGACTCCATTAATCGGAAAATTCTTCGTGGCTTCTATGGTGGAGATAGGACTGGCTCTGATTGCAACCTGTTTTGTTTTGAACCTCTACGAGGCTACGGGACCAAGTTCTGAAGTCCCACGATGGATTCGTGTATTACTAATCGATATTTTCGCGCCGTTACTTCTGGTTGGAAGGCCAAAGCCGAAGCCAAAACGAAAATTCAATCCGTCGGAGACCAATCGGAGTAACCATTCGTACAGCCCGATCTTGACCGAACACAACGGAAATAATCTGGAAATGGAATGTGGTGCAAAAGATGTTCTAGTTATGGCACCAAAGGTGGGCGACAAGGTCCTAACGTCCCGAGATTTCATCAATTCTGTGCATGAAAATAACATCCGACACAGGGGAAATTCTACTCAGGAAAAACTACTCGAAGGAATCAACGTACTTACTGAACGTGCAAAAGAACAGGAAAAACAAGATGAAATGAAGGAAGAGTGGGAATCAGTGGCTAAAGTTATAGATCGGTTGTTCCTGCTACTTTTCATCGCAACAGTTGCGATATCAACGTCGCTCATCTTTTTACAGCGGCCCAGTTATGCTACTATGTAAATGAAACAAGGGGCGAGAGTATTTCCAAGAGCTGGAGTCTAGTTCTAATCTCCCCAGTCCTCCGCGTAAGAGAAATTTCCTAGCCTAATGTTAACGCAAGGCGTTCCCGACTGCGCGTGCCTCAAAACAACCAATGACATTGATAGAAATTTCCTGCTAGTATTGTTTCAAATCTAACTGAATTGAAAAAAGAACAGTTTGCTGTGAAGACTAATCAAACGTTATTAGAAAGTATACTAGTATATTTGAAAGAGAGGATAAGGATTTTTTGTGTACTACATATCTCTCTACAGAAAAGAGAGGAATTGTGAAGAAGGTTTTTCTACTACCAATAACTTATTAAAATGAAAGACAGAGCAAAACATAGTATACTACTTTCGCAAAAGACGCTACTGAATTTGAGACACAAGCGTTCCGAGACTTTTATTTCCTTTTGTTTTATACGGAAAAAATGCTTTAAAAATAACTGTCAATAACATTGCTTCACAATGTCTTGCTTTAGATTCTAGAGTTAAAAGTGCGTGGGTACTGCATAAGGATTACGTAGGATTAATTAATTATCTGGCCTCAGTTGCACAAAAGGTGGGCAATGCAATCCACCGCATAAAACTGTCCAGCTTTTGAACAAGTGGGGCCTGTTTAGATACACTGAGGTTACACCATTGAAAACGTGTTCCTACACGTGGTGAATGCATACGCTGTTTTTTTTTTCCGTTGAACAGTTTCAAGTCTATTGATCCTGATCAGATCGTTGTAACACTGAGGCCAAAAAAGAGTACAGTAAAACCCCGCGTATAAGAACCTGGGTTTTAAGAACCTGTTAGGCTAAAATTTTCATTTTAAGCCCCCTCCACATAAGAAACTATTAGGGCTAAAATTTTAAGTTAGGTTGTTAGCAGTGGAACTGGTTATGAATGTACTGTATTTGTCCCAAGATTTTCTTGGTATCAACTTTGAAATGGCATTTCAGAGAACTCACTATGAGTTTGTTTGTTATGTTTTGTTAAGGACATACCTGCACTGTACTGCCTTTAGGCATTACTGTTTGGTATAAATGATTTATATTGTATTATGAAATGATATTTATAATATATTTAAATGAAATTCATATGAAAATATAAGAACCTATTTTAAGAACCTTGGTACTCTAAATTTGCTTTAAGTACCATTTGTATAAGAACCTGTTAAGGCTAAATTAAAAAATCCAGGTTCTTATACGCGGGGTTTTACTGTATTGTTAAAACGAATGGCTACTAAACTAGGCTAAAATGCGAACAAAAACGAAAGTGGAACGGTTCTCTTAGGCTTTAGATGAGGCAGCTGAGAAATGAAGTTTTTTGACAGTAAGCTGAGATGCAAACGATAAGCAAGAAAATTGCCCAATATTTACGTGATAACTGATATTCCAGCAATTCCATCTTCACTATTTTACCTGTGTTGCGAACTCGTCTACCTAGGAGACCGTTTACAATAGCATTTGCTTACTATTATCGCTTACGCCTTTTCAGTGTGAACAAAAGGCCTTTTGCTGTTAACGTTAGAAACGTGTTTTTTCAATTACTTGTTTATATCTGTTATTCACTGTAGTTATTTTTTATTGAGTACGCAGTATTGTGTACTGTTTGAGTTCATCCACCTCTCGTTAGATATGCATAAAAACTATCTAATAACGACGCATATTAGTGATTGACTAAATGAAGAATGGCAGCGACGAAGTCTTATGAGGACTGGATACTTAAAACTAAAGACTAGTGGTCAAGAAAATTAAAATGCTAATATTCAATATCACTATATGATATAAATGAATAACTGAATAAGAGAACATAATGATAAAATGTAAATATACATGCGATTGAGTCTCAATAATAAATTAATCAATAAATTAAATAATGCACATAAGTTATGAGTAACAATTGTGACAGTGATAGCTTGCCCATTCATATGAAGCGCCGCGAATATGAAAGGATGTTTATTCTGGGAACGTATGCATGAGCGAAAGAAACAGCGCAATCTCAATAACATGCTTTTCGCTGGTGTCTTTGTAATCATACTGATCAAAAAGCTATTGAGTCTGCGCTGGTTGCTTAAGCTTATGCGTTGCGAGGTGAGTGTGGATCCGAACAGTTGCATGAAGGCCAGTTAGCTTCAAAAACCGAAAAAACCTGTGTTGCGTTTTCTAAAGTACAACGTGTTCATCTGAAAACGCAAAAACTACTTTCGGCTGCAACAAACAAAATCTGGGGTGAGCATCTTCCAACTTTCTCGAAACTTGCCCCAGGCCCCTTTCCGCGCGGTAAACATGGCGATATGAAAAAAAACTGCTGGTTGAATTATTGAAACAAGAATGTCCAGAGCGTTCGATAAAAGAACGACTTTATTTAAAAATAAAATTCACTCAAAAGTCCTTCGCCTCGTGTTCGACTTTTCTCCACCTTCTCCCTGGTTACCAGGATTTCTCCGGCAGAGTTCGCACAGTTCATTCGATGCCTAAAAGCACAGCACAAAGCCTTGTAAGTTGTCTGTAGTGATACATAAAGATCTTTCTCATGATCTCCCATCACTCAAGGAGTTATCTATCCAGGGTTTTCAACAGTTTTTGAAGTAGGAGTTGTATTTATTTGAGTAGGAGTTGCAAGGCCCGGAGGGCCTTGCTCTCTAGGGGGGTCTGGGGGCATGCCCCCCCCCCCAGGAAATTTTGAATTTCTAGACTCTTGGAGGCGCATTTTCCCGCATTTTGAGACGCAGAACTAGCAAATTTTAGATATCGAAAATACTGATAAATTTTGATGCTTTTAGTAACTTTATTAACCACAATATTAGGGTACGCTTTAACCACATTATTACCTGCAGCATCCTTTTTCTTTTCCTTGTTTGTCACTGTCGCGACCACATCTCCCGTAAACCACGCTGTCGCTTTTCGGCCATTTTGCCGTGTTCTTGGAGACGAAATGTGGCGTTTTATGTAGAGTGGCTTCAGAAACCGCTAACTACAACGTTCCCTGTAACTGAGACCCAGTCTTCGACTCGTCCTCAACGTTTACTCAACGTATTACGCAGAGAACGTATTTTAAAAGCAGACTCAAGCGATGTTTTGGCGAAATTCTCCAGAAAAATTTCAAGTTTGCTTGCTCGCAGCAGCTTTGTGAACACTTACCACTTTTTATCAAAAGTTTTATTTGTCATATAATTTACCTAAGGGAAAGTAGGCGTCGCAAATGAAAAAGTTGCCGTCGGATGCGACGGCCGACGGCTGATTTTGAAAACACTGCCGGATATGTTTTTGACAACTGGTGCGGCGTTTTCAGCAGCAATCATTCGAGACAATTGCATCTGACAAACGGTTAACGAATTTTATGCGCAACGCTAAGAAAGATAATTTTCTTACCAGTGGAAATGTTGTTCGCACGCCAAAGCGTTTGGAATCAACTTTAGTCCGGTCCTGGACCTGAAAGCAGAGCGCAAAGGGGAGATAAAGTATCATTTAAATATGAAGGACAGCTCAGAGAACTGAAGGAAATCATGCAGATTCAAACAAGCCAAAAGCTGTAGATCTTAAGAGACTTTTATTGAAACTAAAAAATCTTCAATAATAAGCGGTAATAAACAAGCAGGCCAGGGACAAGTAGGATAAGACGTAGCGTCTAATGTAAGTTCTAACGCCTGCGGTAAAACAAGGAGTTCGACTGGGTTGAATGTCAGATTTTAACGCGGTTCAAGTCCGAAGTTGAAATTTATGCAACTGGCTCCACGTCTTTCCAAAGGCATACATTTATAAACGTAAGTCTGGTTGTACTTTGAGCGCGTCACAATTTAGGTTCTTGTGAGCCCGTCTTTATTTTTAGTTGCGTGACTGGGTGCGCCGTCGTGGGTTTTGTGCGCGACCACGGAGGAGCTAAATAATAGGGCACTATGAGACAAGAAGACCTACATGGCCGGAACATATTCCGGTTTATGTTCTAGTAATATTACCACCCTCCCTGGATGGGATACAAGTCCACAGCACTATGCCGCAAGTATCTATTTGCTTAGAGTGTTTACAGTACCCAGTTTTTAGTAAGATCATCAAGATCGAGCGCTTACTATAGGGACAGCCATCTTTAGTTCATAGCCGTGGAAGGAGGGAGGCAATAAACATATTTTTCTCGCTCGCCTCCCTAAAACCCGTCCCACCGCCCCCTAGCAGAGTGCGTCCCTGGGTATTTTGATCTTATTGGCCGGAAAATATTTTCTGGCCAATCAAAAGCAGGGATTTGAACACCTTCTGCAGCTAGTTCTGGCACCCAGGAGCACTATTAATCTTGTTTCTCGTGTAAACATTTTTTTTTTTTTTTTGCAAAGATTTGCCCGTGAATATTCTCTCCCGATCAGCTGCCCCTGTATGGGGTCTCAGTAGATGGCAACCCCGACTTGTTTCAGTTCTAGTCTTATGTTCCCAAGTTATAAGAATTATGAGCTTACCAGGTTGCGTTTATCATGGAGTAATGGCTGGTGAAAGTTCTGCCCAGGCACGAAGAGCACATTAAAAGTTCCGTGCAGTTCACAACTTCACAAGTCGATTTACAGCACTTTATCTGAAAATGCCAGCATCAAAACTGATTTAACAAAATGGAAAGCAGATCCCGAAGTATTTCCAGTTTAACCTCCAGTAAGCGACCACCCAAAATGTGAAAACTTAGTGAGACGAACCAAACTCAGATTTGGGTCGACCTAAAGTAAGTTAAGATCACCTGTTGGGTCAGATGTCGAACTTAGGATGCGTCGAACCAATCAACTGAATCAGACCAAAAAGCAAATTTAGCCAGCAAATAATAATTTTTTTCCCGAACGACGCTAAAGATACATTATCATACAAGTTTTTAATTTATTAGTTTAGTTCGTCGCATGAGAAGATCGACCCTTGTCCCGGACACGATCTTCAGACGCTCTATCCGTCTGAAGCAGCACGGATAGAACGTGTTGGACGATCCAAACTCATTCAGACTAACTTAACTGAGCCAGACGTCGAACTTTTCATCAACGTAACTCTCTAAGTTTGGTTCGTCTCATGAAAAGTTCGACGTTTGGCTTAAGCCTTAGTTTTTAATATTATAAGTTGAGTAAACTTTTACTTCATTTTTTTTCATGTTATTGACAAGATAAAAACGACTACTTGCGGTTTATCGCAAGAAGATCGTGTACGCTTGACTTTTTATCTCACCTGTCGCTGTAGTTTGTATGAGAAGAGTTTAGTGTGACTGGGATATTCTAAAAGATGATTTATAAGGTGTCCACGGCCATCGCATAAAGTTAACCTGAAACGACGAAACAAAAACAGCTGGCTTCTTTCACATACAAGCAGATAAAGTACAAATGTAGTCTTCAGGAAAGTTATTTAATGTCCGGGGTGGGGCATTTGAGGGAGGTATGGGTGGGGCAGTGCCTTTTTTGTGACTCCCAAATACAACACCCTGTTCAAGATTGAGAATATCGTTTTTATGTTTAGCTAGAAAATATAATTTTGTTAAATCAGCTTTGGAGTCAATAAGATTTTTCAGCTACAAACATATTTCGGGCATCAAACACTACGACCATTCGGTCCAGAGAGATACCCTGTTCAAGATGCTAAAAAGTGAAATTATACCCAAGGTCCAAAAACACCTTGCCCTGTTGGGCCGGCGGCTTATACCCATTCATACTAAGCCTTTTTTAGGATCAAGACTCAAGTAAATAAGTTCCATACCGATTACCCAAATGATGTTTGGGTAAAAAAAAAAAAGTTATCTTAACGATCACTTTCATCCACGCAACTGAAAGGGTGGCTTTTTCATGACTTACCCACACTCGAAACAGTAAGCTAGATTTGACCTCAAACCACAATCACTGCACTTTGCATCTTTGGCGTTCCGAAGCTTTTGACATCTGTGGTAAAAAAATAAACAAACCAAGCTATGTATGGAATGAGAGAACGAACTGAGCATATACAAGTACTATATTCCAAACGTAACAACTAATGGTGATGTTGCGCGGGACCATTCACAACGACAATTTTTAGCGCAACACAGAACGTTGCAACATTGTTGCGACCTTCTTCCCTATAGTGGCAACACTGTTCCAACAATGCAACGCTGTGTTGCGCTAAAAATTATCGTTGCGAATCTTCCCGTGTAACATCATCTCAAACGAGGCACAGAAGTGCGAGCAAAAAAAGAATGAAACTAATTCATCTTTTCTTTTTGTGTCTTTTCACATTTAGTCATGATCCCAACCCCTTGCGTTGGCGGTCAATAAATCCCCAGTGGTTTCTATTGACAAAGAGGTCTGTGAACAAGCTAAAGTAGTATTTTTATACAAAACTTGACCAAATAAGTAAAAGAAAACTTTGCGTGCCAATATAGTTCCACGTTCCTATTAATAGTACCAGGTTTCTTTGCGAACGTTAAGGAGACCCAGTCGTCTTCTCTTTAGATCTTCAAATGTGACGAAATTGTTCTTGCTCACTAGCATTAGGTTTATTCCATGTGAAGCTTGACGTTTGACCGTAGCAGACGGACCACTTACCTTTTGTAATAGTCTTTTAATACGCTGGAGTAAAATGATCCTTTTGAATTATTCTATAGAGAAATAATATAACATTGCGTTCAAAGAAACAGACATCACGCTGTACCAACAAAGTTTAACTAACATCCAGACGGTCAGGAGTTTAAATTCCGTCCGAACTGGCTATTTTTGTTTAGTAATCATAGTCACCTTCCGAGGATGAATACTGACCACAATTTGTAACAAAAAATTAAAAGTAATCTTAAAAAAGAAATCGATTCCCGGAATTTCTCGTTTTCCCGGATTCTCGTTTCTCGATAGTCAGCCAGTTATAGTGTAGCCTTGTTCCTCGACTTCTTACTTTATCCTCGATAACGGTAGCCTGTAAGCCTTCGCGTTCTCAAACGTCGGCCACGCAGGCTACGCGTGACACTCGCGAAGATCAAGTGCTGTCTTTGAGATTCGAAAGCCAGCCACTGTTATCAAACGTACGTACAATGAATGTGTGAAGTGTTGAGACTGTTCATGCTAAACTGTGTCAAAGAAGGGCGTGCTGTGTGGAGTAAAAACGAAAGGCAAGTCTCTCCCAAAAATCTTTTGCTTCATAATGTCTTTTCATGGCACTTTCGTCAACCCACGGCTAAAGGTTTTTTTTTTCTTATACAGGCAAATCAGTGAAAACCCTACTAGGTAAACAACCTAATCTGACTAAGTGTTAGATTTCTTAAAACACGAAAGGCAGTTTTCACAAGTAGTAAGTGATTAGTGCCGAGTTGGTTGGCGGCGAGTCGACTTCTTGGCGGCGATTTGGTTTGTGGCGAGACGGTTTGGTGGCGAGATGACCATAAACCGATTAAACCCACCTGCTGACTACGACCTCCACTGAACTGCCCAACATCAGACGCTGATTCTAAATGTTTAAAAACAAAAAAGCGAAATAAAACAGAACAATGCTGATACATTTTTCACACAAATGTTATAGTTGCTTGAAAAGCAAACACCTAATCATTTCATTCATGTCAGTATACCACGAGTGAAACTCGTTGGTAAAACGACGTATTAGACGCCCGCGAAACAAGTTATAACTCTTCAGCGAAAAGATCTAACACGTAGGCGAAACGACTAACGGCGATAGCGAACAGGACGTATGAGAAACGACTCGTTGGCGAAACGACCGGTCACCCATAATATAACATGAAAAAAAGGACCCGAGTTATCGCTTTCTGAAAAATTTAGGGATTGTTGGACAATTTGTAAGTGTACTGACTTTCCCAAAATTCTTACAAAAAGATATCACGAAGGGATAAGAAATGAATCACCACGCCTAAAAATGGCCAACTTTGAACTGATTTGACGTTATTGCTTTCATTCAGATGGGTTTATCATGTTATGTTTTCTTGCGATTACATTCCATTTGTGACTATTTGATTAAGGGGTGTATAAACTAGTTGGAACAGCTACAGTCTGAGTTTGAGCGCACTTTGAATTTAAACAGGGCATTTTCTGGTAATAAACACGTGTCAGTACCTGTTACAAGGTTTCTGCTTTTTATGGTGCAGTCTTCTGGAAGATGTCCTACACGCCTACACTTCCAGCTAAGAAGAAATCAAAGAAATCACCACACAACACGCTTCACACACCGATCTTTAGCATTTCTACAAAACTGTAGGTCATATCGTCATGAAGGCATATGTATTAAAGGAGTTTAAAAGTAATGTCGGTTGACCAGCATAGATTAAGACAGGATTTAACAGTTTATGGAAAATGCCCACATTTTTGACAGTAAACGCAAGTGGCACATGAAGAAAATTTTTCGGGGATATGACCCACCCGGGTCGACTGAGCCTACCCCTGACCGTAACCTAGACCTAACGATATTAAGCCAAACCTAAAGCAGATAAGATACAGTAGTTGAGTCAGTGCAAAGCCTGTTTTCCCTGAATTCTCCTTGAGTTATATTATACAGCTGGTAAAATGTCTACTCATAGTACCATTTATAGCTTGACAGAGGGTTAACTGGATCTTTATATTTAAGCTTTGCCTGGTCCCAGATCGCTTGCTGTTTTTCTGGAAGATTGAGATGATTGGTCTGCATTCTAAAACGATTAAAACATGATATCAGTCCTATTAAAGTGGACTACTACTACTAATTCACAGAAATGTCTAATGCATCTTTAACATCTTCCAAAACATAGTCCAAGGACAAATTCATTTAACCTGAGACTACCTAAAATCTTTCATTAAAGGAACAGGTTTGAAGCTTCTAAACTCTTGAATTTAAAATAAAAAATGTGCACCTCTTGAACAAAAAAATTCAACAATTAAAATTTTAAGCTATACACATGTGATATTCAGAGTACCTCTCTTGGTTGTTAAGGCTGACAATACTTGCAGAAGTCTTGTTTGGCTTTTCACTAGATGTTTTCAGGGTAGATTGATCAGATTTAGGCCTCTATAAAAAAGGCGGAAAAAGTTGGCT